CCGCCCTGGGCCTAAGGGAGGAGAGCTTCGCCGTGGGGACCCTCAGCAGGGTCGTGGCCGCCGAGCTGGCGAGCTACGCCCCGGCCAGGAACAGGAGGAAAACAGCCCTCCACAGGGCCTCGGTCGTCTTCGTGGACAGGACGCTGGACCTTGCAGGTAAGAAACCCACCACCGGCAAGGGCTGGCAACCCCCCGGGCCCCGGCTGCTCGGTGGGGAGCTTTTCAGATGGCTGCGGGAGGCCACGAGGCCTGTGGGCAAGTGTAATGCCTTGGCTGCCGTGGTTGCTCTGCAGCACATCGTGGAAACCAAGAGTGAAGTCTCTGCTGGAAATGCACGGGGCAGGTGGGGGAAAGTTATTTCTGCCCTTTCTGCTTTGCAGTGAGCTGGAGACCTTAGTTGTGCCCAAGTGTCAGTTCCAAGGTGTGAAGGAAACGTTCTGCAGGGTTCAGTTCACGCTCTGTGGATTACTGTGAACTATTTCTCTATGTATCATGCTTACCACCCTTTACAGTGTGTGTATGTGAACAGGTGTGCCTCTGTATATGCACTAAATAGACAGCTCTCAGTGTGTATATATGTGTATATGCATATTATACCCTAAAGCATTATAGTTGCCCTTTGAGTGATGCAGTTGCACATGGCTGGTACCTTACTTTAACTCGAGAACAGTATGCATCAGTGAGAACAATACAGAATTGTTTATACAACATCCTTTCTGGGTAGCAAAAGTGTAAGCATGAACCATATGCTAATTTTAATAGTGCCAATTAATAATAATGCAAAAGTTGTGAAATTTAGAGGGTGATTCAATAGTCCACTTAGAAACTAGTAGAAGGAGGATGACTCGAATAGTAATCAACTTGTAAGCTAATCCTGTGATCTAATGTCTTATAAGTTGATAGAATGTGATATCAAAAGGACAGAAAGGGAAAGTGTGATTGAACAAGGCACCAGCAAGGTGCAGGGTCAGTGACCTGGAAGAAGTTTGTATCAGACTCTCATTTATGGAATAACCATCTTCTGGAGAGAAGAGTGAACTCGGAGAATAATTGATACAGGAGCTGCTGCGTTCACCCTTGCTCCGTCATACTGTTGGTGTTATTACAGAACGTGTAATGCTCCATTTGCATTCTGCATGGTCAGTAATTCACGTCATGACTTTACCATGTGACCCATTGCAAGTGCACGGCACTATGTCGCACCTGCAACACACCAGTTTCTGATAGATGTTTCCCTCCCTGCTTGATTTTGTTCTTGCGTAACTTCACACTGCTGTGAAGCTCATAGCTGTCAATGATGTGCTGAAAAGCAGCTGTGAAACCGGCTGTTTAATGCTGTGTTATGGTTTGGGAAAGCTACTGAGAAGGTTACAGGAGAGTAGACTCGGGTAAAGAACCTTGTAATGGAATTGTGATGGCAGTGCCTGTTTGGGGTGGCAACTAATGCAACTGAGCAAAGATTCACGTGCTCGGGAGGCAGGAAAGAAAAAAGACAGGAAAATGAACTGCTATTTTGGTGGTAAGGAATTGTATGACAAAGACTGTTGAGGAGAGATGAGGGGATGTAATCGGTACTGGGCTTGAATCTGTGAAATCTCGGATGTTGCCTTTCAGGAAAAGGAGGTTGCTGGGAGAATGAACCAGGACTGTGGTGGGGTAGCTTTGTAGGTGATACATTGAAACTCTTGAAAAACTGAAGTAAGGATGAGAAACAGAAGCATTCATGTTTGCAAATATATTCTCTCCAGTGTCTATAACTGACTTCAAAATCCCTTCATATAACCATTCTTTTGGTGCCAGCAAACGTCTTTAGAACTCCATTGATGGTTTCACTGAAGCCTTCATTTGCTTTGAATTGCTTGGACATGGCAGCAGGCTCATGCCATCAGGAGGAGTCCAAACTCAAGGGACAGAAATCTACTAGGTCTCAAAGATAAAGCCCTATATGGATGTGAACTTGATGCCATGTGATGAAATTTGTTTCACTGTTTTGCTAGAAATCAGGCAGTAAAAAGTGCATAAAAAGCAGCATTTAAGTTATAAAATCAGTCATCAGGAGATGGGAAATGGCAGGATTAAGTTGTGTGGGAAACCTTAATCTCCTGGGCACGTGCAGCCTTTGATATAGTCTTTCCCCTACTGCTCTGCCTGGGAGTGAATGAGTGTTGTCTGTAGGATTTCAGCCTTACACACTGTAAAAGCTAAGGCTTCCTGTTTTCAGGTTTGGCACTGGCAACTGGGCCGGTGGATTTCTCAAGCTGTGATACATATTTGTGGTCTGCAGAGTAAAAATAGAGCTGTATTGTTCATGTAACAACCAGTTGCAGGGGAAAGTCTTTGAGGTGGACTTTCTGATTTGGGGCTCCTTTAAAACAACTTCTTAAATTGCCTCCCTCTGAAGATGAAGGATTTTGGATGTGATTTGTTAATATCTTACTGATACCTAAATCTTGCCCAACATGTGGGCTGCGGATATGAGAAATAGTTAGGTATCTATGAGTTATCATAATGCTTTTCATACCCCAAACTCTTCCATAAAAGCCTGAAAGTTCATTAAGTATAGATGCTGGGCTACTCTTTAAGTCACGCTACTGCTTCAAACCAGGTGCCTTTGAAACATACTGATTAAGCTGTTAGGAGGCAAACGTTTTCTGACTTGGAGACCTGGATGGAACACAACTTTAGAAAAGCTTTAGATATGGCTAAAGGAGTTGTGCTAACGAATCTCTCATCTTTGGCTGATGTTCCATGTTTATTTAGAGCAAGTAAGATGGTAGCATAGAATAACAAATAGTTTTTAGTGACACCAATTGCCTTCCAACAGTAAAAGTCAAAATATCTCAAAAATGCCTTTTCCGGTGCCGCAGTTGCATACAAGTGAACTATGGGAAAATACTGGTCTTTAAATAAATATGAAGCACTTTCCACTTTAAAGAACAAGCTACAGAAGCATTTATAGTGTTTTTGTTAGGAACCTCCACTGCTAATCTTGAGAAACTGTATTATCTTTTCTGTGATAATTATTTTGAATCAAAAAAAGAATTAGCAGTATAGAAAATGGCAAAATTTTATATCCAAAAAATCAAAAGGCATTTAATTTATTGCTTCTAGGTTCCGTGAACCAAAGAATCTTCTCTGAAGTATTTTTCTAAAATTTGGGTTGAGCTCTATTGATTACTTTTTGTAATGTCTTTTTTTTGTTCATAATTGCTTATGTATGTTGCATTTGATGAACAGAATGAAAGGTACTGAATTAAAATACATAATTTTCCTTTTTGTCCTTTTTTCCTTTTTGTATAAGATTCAGATGAACTGTAATAGGGATCTTTTTGTGGCCTCTGGTCTGGCTCTTTTGCTTTTCTGCCCTGTGATCTCATAAGCTTTGCTGCATTTACTGCACAGTGGCGTGGCTTCGACTGGGGATGGTACAGAGACTGCCTCCTTCCTCAGTGTAGCGTAGGGTCTTATGGATAAAGCACCGCCCTAGAAAGCGGGAAATGTGTTTCTATCCCCTGGATGGATTCCAGAATTAGCATTCTGGGCTTAGTTCTTCAAATTTGATTGCTTAAAACTTTGTCAGTGGTGCTGTCCCTAAACTCTGTGCATATGTAAAACTGCTTTTCTTTACTTACTTGTTGCTTTAAAGTCCACTAGTTTTACTTTGAAAAGCAGAATAAATCCTCCTGCCTGGAGTGCTATTCTAATAAGTTATGCTGTTTGAGATCTGGGTTAACTTTGATACCTTAACTCCTTTTCATTTTTCTTCTCAAATATTTGCACTGTGATATCCTATTCTAACCCCATACTCCTTTCATACGTTTTGTAGCCACCACCGTGCTGGTATTCACACCTCTTCTGAAGCCTCTTTTTTCGGCTTCCTGGATTTTCTTTTTCCTTTGTAAAAATGTTGATATCTTTCAGAGGATGGTTTCAGAGCATTTGAACAATTTAACTCTTTGCAGTCTCTTTGCAGTAATTGGGGTATGGCCTCTTGTAAGCACAAGAAATAGTGAGTTCTCTGCCCACTGAGTTCATGCAGCCAATTTTGACATGCATTCCAATGAACAAGCAAAAGAAGGAATATTGGTTGGGGGTGGTGTCTGTGTAGTTAGATAATATATAGTTTTGAAAGATATTTTTGTATGAATGTCACTGAAGTTGGTCTAGAAGTGGTATTTCACTGCCTTCAGCAGTAGCACTTTTATCTTTCTCTAGCATTTTTGCATGTGTTGGTCAAAATCATGGGAACTTTTGCCCACAGCCATAAAACACTGCAAACTCAGGTTTAACTTTCTGTATCATCTCCCTTACTACCATCCAAGCATCATCTTTTCATCACACTCTTGCACAGGGTGTAATGTTCTCAGCCTTCTAACAGATATAAAAAGCGTAGTTCAGGCCCTTATCGAAGAAGCGTAGAAGTTCCCTTCTAGTTCCTTGGAGCAGCCAAGAGGGTAGGGACAGGACTTTTTTATTCCTTCCACATATCCTATTTATAGAGAAGGAGAACAGTGAAAACCAACAAAGGCCTGCATCTTGTAAAGCCTGATTCTGATTAATGCCCATTTTGGATTATTTTTGCTTAAAACTATTGGTTTGTGCTTGTCTGTAATAACTTTCTCCTTACCTTCTGTCATGTTTCTTATTTTGTCTGCTTTACTGAAGCTCTTTTTCATGTCTGCAGAATCTTCTAAGTTAAAGCCACTGATGGATTGACACTGCTGTCTTTTTGAATGAAGCAATAATATTTAAGCCTTCCTTGAATGGTTTATCTTGAAGACAAAAATTCTGAGGCCTATAAAGTACAGTAGTCCCCTATTTGTGAGCCAGACTGGGTTTTTGACACAGAAGCCAACAGATGTTTAAATTACTGTGGTTACATGAGGTTGTAGACATCAGCTGTAAGGACTGATAGAAGCTGAAAATGTAAGTGGTGTAAACACACTACTGTGGGTCAGGGTGCAGACTCTGCTGTGATGTGACTTGCAAAGATTCTGTTTTTATGGAACAGGCCCACAATTTTTATAGTAGGTTCTTAAATGCTTCAGATGTTAAATTGTATGTTACAGAAGCTTCAGAGAGATAAGGAGACTAACGGAACTGGTTTTGCATATTTGAAGAAAACTTCAAGCGGTTACATGAGCCTATAAGCAGGTGCTTAAGTGTTTCTTATCTCCAAATTTACTACTCTTCACACGTGTCCTGGCTTGCTGACTGTGGGAGATGGTGAACCTACCTTATATTTTTATGGCAGCCTTCTGATGCTGCTATGCTTGGCTGTGAGCTACTGGGCTACTATTACATGGCTATAGGATTTTTCTCTCGGCTTCAATAAGCAGCCTAGTGACTACTTTGCTGTTCCTTTGTCTGTGCAGAGGAGTATATAGATCTATACTTTGGGAATGTAGAAAGATGTTCTAGTTCTGTTCTGCAAAATGGTTCCTGGGAGCATAAAAGCTGTTTTCCAGCGCCATTCCACAAGGTCAGTTTAAGCAAACTCTTGATGAAAGAATATGGAAAAGCATTGCTAAGCTTTGGTACTGGAGCTACAGATATCCAGCTTCTTCCAGGGAATAAGTGTAAACATTTCTGCTCCCGCTGCTCTCTGATGCTTTAAACCCGATTCTCACTAAGATGATGCAGTGCCCAAGAAGGTTGCATCATAGGAGTAGTTCCATAAAGAGTCCTTTAATTTAAAGTCTTCCTAGTGATGATCTTGTTCAGAAAAGTATTAGGTGAGTGCAGTGTGGCAACATGATGAAAACTGAGATGGGTTTGTCCCTGTAAGTTTCCAAGATCAGTAGTCCTACACTAATCCTCTACAAAGCAGTTAAAAGAGCAGATGTTAAAGCTTGATAGTATGAACAAAGAATATGTTGCATGCTGTTTTGGCTCATTTTCATCACTGTTAAGCTACTTACCAATTTATATTTATAGAGCTCAAACTTTGAGGGAGAAGCCACTAGCTTCTCATGAGCTGTGGAAACTGGCTGCAATAGTTGTTGGATAACGAGCAGTGCCTTTGTAGGAGCACTGCTTTCTAGTTCAAGCTCCTCATGTTTAGTAACTGTCTTCAAAGTCTTCCCGTTACACAAGCTCTCATGTTGCTTCTGTAATATAAAATTAAAGAATCCGTATTTGCTCCTTAAGTCTGTTGTTGTTTTTCTACCAAGCAGTAGAGCCAGAGGAGAATTTAAGAGCTTATGATCAAGTGGTGTGGTATAGGGCTTGTAAGGGGCTTAGGAAAGTACTTTCTTGTACATGTCATAAAGGCCTTTTTAGGGGGAGGCAGGAGGTGTACCGAGAGGAGGGCAGCTAATGAGTTTCTGGCTGCTGTTGTCGACTCAGCTGTCTGACTTTGACAGTTGTGCTGGGTACAATCTGTGTCAAATCTCATGTGCTTCTGTTTGTAACTCTAGTGAGGAGATCAAGTAAAATTAGAATAACTTGATACTTCTCAAGGCAGGGTACTACCCTGGCATGAAGACCGCTCTTTAGCATTAGTTAGATAACTTCTCCTTGCTGCTCCAGCACTTGATATATGTACACATTGGCAGCATGAAAGCTGCGAGCTGCCTTAAACACTGCAGGGCATGAGAAGTTTTTAAGCAGCCTGGTGACTAATCTCAAAATGATGAGAAGAGAGTCTTAAAAACAGTTCTATGCAACCTATCAAAATCAATGCGATGAAAAAGTGACTGCCTCTTATTTGCCGTCCTCATCTCTTGAGGTTCTACAAGGCTTAGCTTTGCTGCCAGCCTTGGTTGATTTGCATAGTTGGTCAGAGGTGAGAGTAGTTTAAAAGCTGAAGGAGACCTTTTCTGATTGATCTGAAGAGATGGAGCAAAAGCCTTTACTGCCTGCTTGCCAGTGGGAGCGTCAAAGGAGTAGCATTGATGGCAAAGGCTGAGATGGTATTGGCTGACTGTGGAAGCAACTCAAACAGGCTGAGACTTGCCCCACTGCATCAAAGGAGAAAGGAGGGATGTTAATGATTAACATGAATTTATTTGCATTTGAGGTGTTTCTGTTTTAGTTAAGTGACATTTAGCTAGAAAAGACATTTACATGCAGTAAGTGTGGAGAGACAGGCATTGCTTCCAGTATGTTGGAGTGGAAGTCCAGAAGATTACCATCTGTTTTCAGTGTCTGTAACTTTGTGAGTGTTGGTAAATGCAGTGTGGCTGACAAGTGACCGACCTAGTAAGGAGAACGTAGGGATTTTGGAGAGCAGATGGCTTAGGGAGCTGCAGAGACAACCCAGTTCATTTAATCTGTAATTCAGTGGTGTAAATATGGCTGGGGATGGTAGAGGGAAAGTTGCTGTCATTCTGTGACTATTAGAATCTCTGGTGAAACAAATTGGTAATCTCAGTCCAGCTGAGCAGCCAGGTGTCCACACTGCAGTATCACCTCATGCTGGACACATGTGCTTTCTTTGCTTCCTCTGGATAGAGACTTTGCCAGCATGGAGGTTGAACTTGCCTTTCCCCCTCCTTTTTCATCCTTGCTTCTCTCTTTGACTTCTGCAGCAAGTCAAAATAGTTGCTAAGGATGAGGTGGTTTTTAAAGCATGGACACCTGGCTGCTGTTGACTTGCTGGAGACAACCTTTTATTTAACCAAGAATAGTTAATAAACTGACTGCTCTAATGTTCTTGATGTAAGGACTTCCTCTGGGTTTATGGAGCATGTGAGGTTAACTTCACTGACTGAAATGGGCCTGCTCTGTCTTTTGGAAATGATCAAGAGTGAGGACAGATGGGGTCTGTGTTGACAAACACTTATGGAACGGGACCGCAGCCTGAAATGTCTTTACTGCCTTCCAAAAGTGACGCCAAAAGCCCCTTTTCCTTGTGACTGAGGCCAGGGGAACCTTACTAAGCTCAACAGCGGTGTCTGGCCCTGTCGTGATAGCTGGACAGGAGCAAGACTTGTAGCATATGAATACATTGGTCATGTCTCTGACTTAAAGACACTGAGGTTTTTGGCTCTCTCCAACATTTTCATCTGTAGTATGGGTCATGTTTTTCTGCTTGGGCTTTGCTCACAGTGTTAATATTTGTAAGCTGGCTGTAGTGCCCATCTTTAGAGTTAATCACTAGAGGTAGAGCATGTGTCTTTGGCGTCAGGAGGACTGAAGGAAAAGTGCCGGCTGAAATTTGGAGTTTCTCTTAGAAAACGGTCAGCTGACTCTTTACAGTATTTTAGGCGTTTCATGTTGGTTTTAATTACTTATGCTGCCTCAGGCCACATAGGAGAGATGACCTTGACAGTGGCATGTTGCTGGTAACTAATATTCTGCCAGCCTATCTGGGTAGCTGTGCATGCTACTTGCATACAGCCCTTTTAAGCACAGTTTTTTTAGTTTCGTATTATTTTAGATAGAAACGTATAGTGTGTATGCATGTGTGTATATACATGGATATGTGTGTACATGTGTATGAAAGTGTATGTACACATATGAGATTTTTTTGCCTGCTTGTTTTTTAAATAGCTACTGTAAATTTTGTTAAACAACTTTCTTATGCATTTTGCATATTTAAAGTACAAAATCCAGGAATGTCTAACAGCTGTAAGGCTAAGCCTAAATTACACTTTTTAAATGAATCCTTCTGGAATGATACCAATAGTTTTAACTTCAGACATTCCAGTCCTTAATTTTTCTAGCAAAATATCTTTGAAAAGCTAAATGTCATCTTGGTGTTATGACTGCCAGTCTCATTCTCCCCAAAGCATATGGTTATTGTTTTGCTCTCAACTCCATGTGATTTTTTTTTTTTTCTCTCCTTGTTGTCTACCTGATATTTTCTTTTTAAATCTTTTTCAGGAGCAGTTGGTCATCACGGTGACAACCTTGCAGAGAAGATGCTTTCTGTGCTTCCCAAGCTCCCTGGCCACAAGACTGATGTGATGGTTAACATGGTGGAACTCACTGCTCTGCAGACTCCAGATGAAATGTGCACTATTATAGCACCTGGCTGCTTAGCACAACCAAAGTAAACATTCTTTTTTGGTAGCTCATTTTTTAAGATGTTGAGTATGTTTGTTATTTTGGCATGAAAAAAAAGAACAAGTTGTCTTTTTAAAAAAGATCCAGTTTACAGGGGAAACCCATCTGGTCCTAATTTTGCTGGAATATAATCAGTTTGTATGTGTGCATTAAGTGATTGAGCCAGATAAAACTCCCAAAAGTGGGAGAATCTCAGAACTTTTTTTAGATTTGGTTGTTTAAACTGCTGTAGGTTATTGTCACAGAAATCAGAACAGATTAAACCCCAGAAATTCCTTCTGTTTTTTTTTTCTGCCCTAATAAGAGGTCATACAGGCAGGCCATCAGTGTGGCTTTCTGTTCCCATAAGCCTCTCATATGTAGTGAGCTGTTAGCTGAACTCTTATTAGTACCTGTTGACTTACGGTTTTACCTGTTTTCAAACATGACACCTGTAGAGGAAGATAATTAGGCATAATTTGAGCTATACAGATAGCCCTGTGAGGGCCTCCGATTTTTGCTTAAACAAGGACAACTTAAGGCAATAATTCTGAACAATTATACTTGGCTCTGTATAATTTGCAGCTAAGACTTTGCCTGTAAAGTGCTTCTGATCTGATGTTTCAGTTTCTAAATGTAGTTATCTGATTTGAAACTTTCCTAAAGCTTCTGTTACTGTGCATAAACCAGGCAATATACCAGGTGCTGGTTTCAGTCTGCAAGAAGAATCTTGCTTAACAGAGTGCTATAGAAATTCATATGGTGCAAATGAGGTGAAAACATCTCTTTGCCATAATGTTTCCTCAATGTATTAGAACACTTTTTTTGTTTGTTTTCCAAAATGGAGCATCTAATGTAATTTTTATGCTTCTGGTTTGACTCCTTTTGGTGCTTCATATCGGCTCTCTGCTCCCTCCCTCTCCCTCCCCACCAAGATTTTCCAGAAAACTTTCACAGAATCACAGAATCACAGAATCGTTTAGGTTGGAAGGGACCTCTGGAGATCATCTAGTCCAACCTCCCTGCTCAAGCAGGGTCACCTAGAGCATATTGCCCAGGATCACATCCAATGTTTCAGTTTCTAAATGTAGTTATCTGATTTGAAACTTTCCTAAAGCTTCTGTTACTGTGCATAAACCAGGCAATATACCAGGTGCTGGTTTCAGTCTGCAAGAAGAATCTTGCTTAACAGAGTGCTATAGAAATTCATATGGTGCAAATGAGGTGAAAACATCTCTTTGCCATAATGTTTCCTCAATGTATTAGAACACTTTTTTTGTTTGTTTTCCAAAATGGAGCATCTAATGTAATTTTTATGCTTCTGGTTTGACTCCTTTTGGTGCTTCATATCGGCTCTCTGCTCCCCCCCTCTCCCTCCCCACCAAGATTTTCCAGAAAACTTTCCTCTATTCCAACATACAGTCTTTATTTTATGAGAGCCTTATGATCCTTTGTCATCTTCGGTCTCCCACACATGCTGTAACTGAGTCCAGAGGCTAAGTTTCGCCTTGAGTAACCATCTCCTCGATCAGAAGATGGAGAGGAAGCATTTCTTCATTATAGGTGGACTCAATTGTAAGTTAGTGCCAGGATGATTAAATAAGTCATGATTGTCTTTTCATTGACTGCTTTCCAGCTAATCACTACAGTAGAAGTGCGATGTCCTCAAGGTCTGTCTGCACAGCAAAATGAAGATGTCATTGTCCACGGCAGACATGCTGTGATAGCTGCTCTTTGTGCTAGCTGCTCTTTGTGCTAGCTTTAATTAGCTACCAGAAATAAACAATTTCTGGCAGTGTGGGCTAGAAAAAAAATAGATGTTTAATGCCCTAAGATTGTTGACTTGTGCTACCCCTCCATTGTTCCTTACATTACTGACACTGATGAGATTAAAGCTAGTGCTAGTATGCCTTCCTGTGCTAGAGTTATGACTTTAGTCTCCTCTGTAGTCCCATTTCGAGGAACAGCCTGGAAAATTTCCTTGTGCTCTAAGGTGGCTAATGGCATATACATTGAGGTTTATTTGCGTATTTACTAGCTAACGGAAGTTGCCTCTCTTACTAGTACAGTTGGAGTTACCTATTTTGCGAAGTCTTCTGTGGGCAGAAGTTATTGAAGAACAAGGGGGGCTGGTTAAAAGGTGCTCTGCTGCTACTATGCAAATGCAACAAAGTTGGATGGTAGCAACTGGTACCAACTGCTAGTCTGGTAGCAAGGCAGTTCGTTACCACACCAGTCCATAACAACGTTCCCATAATAACCTCCCTCTGCGATGTCATCTTAATGAATCTATATCACTGGCAATTTTTAAGAACAGATTAGGCAAACAGCAATCGGGAGTGGCTTACATAAGATTGATCTTGTCTAGAAGCGGAACAAATGGACTAGATGACCTCTCAAAATCTTTTTTCAAAATCTCTGCAATAATATATCTCCATGTTGCTTACAGCTGAAGGAGTACTGCATGCCTGAGAAGAAAGTCTCTGAACCAGAATGTGTTTCTGCACTCTTCAACCCTGTGTCTTTCACTTTTCCCCTCTAACTATGAAATGATTAGAAATAGTTTCTAATTTAAAATAGGCATTTCCAAACTCAGTCAAAACAGTTGTTGAAGAGTACCAGAACACATAACAATGTCTGAATGGGTGGCTGAAGGTTGTGTAGCTTCCGTTCTGTTTAAGACTGTATTCTTAGGATTGGATTGTCAACTTGATCGTTAATGATCTTGACTGGTATAAAATGGTAGAAACTCTTCTGAAGCACTGAAATAGATTTAAAATTCCCACCAATAAGTTCCTGTGTCAAAGATGCTTTTAGTTCTTCGTGAACATGGTTACTGCCATTGGTAGCAGGCTTGGAAGCGTTTGTTGTAATTGAAAAGGTAAGCCTTGATTTATATCTGTAAATGATGAGTGACAATGAGTATTTCTTTGCTTGTAAATTTGCTATTTACTCTGGCAAGTGAAAGTAACAGCACCTTTCCTAGAGAAAGGACTAGTAACTTAAGTTGCACCCAAGTTAAATTTGGCGAGGGGGCTCTTTTATGTGATATCTTGTGATCAGAAGAGTCCGCATGTTGTGGCATGTCACAGACTCGCTCACATATTCAGAATATTTCTCAGATGTTTTCGTTATTTTCTCTCAAGTTAATATTGGAGCATGTTGTGGTGAAGAAACAGCTCTGCTCTCTCCACACAGCTTGCTATATTTAACTTTTCTTATGGAATGCCTCTCCAGCAGAAACATCTGGGCTCAGTTACAGAGTTAGCATACAGAATTAATGAATAATTTATGGCTGGTGTGGTGAAATAAAGCAGGGTTCTTTTCTTAAACCTAAAGAAATAATGGGCTTCTTTAAAGATTTAGATGAAAATGTAAATGCCATATGCTGCTTAGGTTGCTGTACTTTGAAGGTGCTCTCTCCATGAGGAAAAGAATTTCTAAACAAAAATTCCCAACCTATTCTAGGTTTCTTAGCTTTGTTGGTATTAGTAGCCTCAAAAATTTGTGGAGTGGTTGTTTGTCTGCTATAATCACCGACACATTGGCGCTCCAATGTGCGTGTTAGTTGAGAGTCATGTTCTTTGAGAATTAAGTTTTGAAGTATTTTTTTTCATTGTTATATTTAAATGGATTATATATATATATATATATATATATCTCAAAGAGAATGAAACAGTTTACAGACATAAAACAAAAAACATCTACTCTGAGCCAGAGCTATCTGTTTCTGATTAAAAACCATAATAGCCACCCTGTCCTTTCAAGCAAGTGATGCACAATAGAAGTGGAGATTGCTGTGAAAACTTAATGAAAGAAGTAATTTAAACAATTTATATTGATGCAAGCTTCCTTGATAACCCAATAATACTTGGAGGAATACATACTTTTTAACAATTTCAGCTGAACTTTTAATTTTAATTATACACAAAGTGACTTAGTGTATTAGAAATTGTCTGCGTGGATGCACATCAAGCTCTCAGTGGCTGTGACCCATATTTTCCATTTGATAATACACTTGGCTGCTTTATTTCTAAAAGCACCTATCTTGCATATTTAGGATTCATATTTTATCATGTGGAAGCATCCTGCAGTCAGTACTGTGTTTATGCTGATGGTGGCCTGCACTGTCCTCTTTTTGCACGCGGGAGCTTGAGGTGCTGGGGGGGCACCATGGCTTGCTCAAGCAGGAAGTCAGGGTTCAGATTGCTGTGTCCTACCAACAGATCTGTGGTGAGAACAAGAAGTAAAGAGTTACATGGTACCAAATTGTGGGCGACTGAAGAAATCTGTATGTTTGCTCTTTTTTAATCTGTTCTTCTATTACCCAAGAACACTTTTAATATGCTCTCATATTTTGCTGAGTAAACTGAATACTAAATTTGTTTATGCACTTTTCAAGAAGTTGCCGAATAGAGATTGTTTTCTTACCTGCTTTTCCACTCTTACTTCCTTTGCTGCAATCTTTGGAGCCTGTAAGCGTCTCAGAATTCAGTGTGGTGATACAATTTGAGAAAAAGGCCAGATTTCCATTTAAAATATACATTTTTTTTTAAATGTAATATACAGTGAGCCATTGGGTTCTTATGGCAGGCATTTTTCCATAAAAATGCAAAACTATAACGTACATTTCATGTTTGGGCTGCTATGCCTGAAGTAATTCAGTGAGCAATACAGCTGAGGTGTCTAGGTACTTTGGCAAAGCAGTCGGAGCCACTAAATCATCTGGACTGGCATTAAGGTGATCTTGTCAATGGGTGAGATTCAGAAAACCTTGATATGGAGGACAGATGTTTAAAACATGGCACTCGCAACATTCTTCCTTCGGTCTTTATATGAGATGTGCGCAGAGAGGTGTGCTGAGTGGGTAAGAAAGTTCATTAAAAATCAGAATAGTCCTTGAGATACAGTAGTAATTTCAGTGTCTCATGTTAATGAAAGTTGAAAACATATCTTTTTTGATCCTCCTTAGTTTTGAGGTATGTTATTATTCATATTTTACACAGA